TTACCTATAATGTGCTCTAGTGTGTCAAGTGACATCTTGGTGTTAAGTGCTTAGTGAAACAGAAAACCTTTTTATTTAAATGATCAGAATGTAAATACTGCATTACAGATCTGATTCCTTGACATTTTGAAGATGAGTTAGTATATCTGATGCTTTTGTTTTAGGAACAAACGAGAAAATTCAGAGAATCTTCTTGTTTTAAAACCAAACTGAGAAAGAGGAACAAATTGCTGGTTTATTTGCATTTTGGTTTCCTTTTGGTAGCGGCATCTCCCTTAACCTTGTTTATTTTGCTTTGTGTTTGACTCCAACAGAGATCGAATTCATATTATAGACAGATAGTTTGGCATTGTGACGGCAAATGAGAGATCATGCAACATAAAGCAAATTTCTGCCATGGTGTTTTTAATATTGAGACAGATTTTTATCTAACAGAGCTAACAGAACGGAACATGAGAGTACCAGCCGCTCAGGGCTCTGAACACAGCTTCGCAATGACACATCCCTATGGGGACAGATCATGCAGTTTCTATAATATTCAGTTTGTCACTCTACTTGCACAGAATTGGTTTTTGCCTCAGAAAATGTCTTTTCCCTAAAACTCCAGCTGTCCTTCATTCAAAAAGCAGTATTTTAATAAGGTGGTTGTTTACTATGAAACAATGACACTGCTATCATGAATCATAACAGCATAGCATATTCCTTACCATGGATAGTCTACTTGATTCTGAACAGCTGGAGGAAAGTGGGAGCGGGGATGCAATCAAGCATTTAAACATCATCACTGGATGTTTCCAAACATAAGAGTCCAGATGTTTGGCATTGTGAAAGTAATATGTTTGACTGCCTGCCTTTTTCATATTTTATCTGGATCTTTTGCTGTTTTTTAGATGGAGTCAATCTATTCTGCATCTTGAATGGTTATTCTGATCATGACAACGCTGAAGAGTAACAGAAACCAGGCCTGGCAGGATTGTGTGAGGTAAGGAAGGAGAAGAGATTTGGACTGTGGTCAGATGGGTCCCTCTCCTGGCTAATGCATAAGAAAGCATGTGCTTTTAAAAGCCATCAGCTGAAACTGCTTCAGATGAAAGATAGATGAGAATTAAAGTGCAGAGTGAAAGGACCAGCATCCTCTTGTGGCCGCTGACATCTACAGGCTGCATAATGAGGAGCTTCCCTGGAATGTCTACTTTAGCAAAGAGAAGGTCCCATAGGCCTTTGAGGATACTGCTTAAAAATAATCCATTTTTACTAAAGCTGTTTTCTTTTTCAAACTGATGCCTCATCAAGCAAGATTAAAAGTTTATAATGTATGAAATGAAGTACTTTCTTTTTTTAGAATATCAGGGTGCCCTATCCAAATCAACTCCTGCTTTCCACTGTACTTCTCTGAAAATGATTACTAGTATTTAGAATCCGAGTCATTGCCAAAAGCTCCCAGAAAATTAATGGTCTCATTAAAAGTGGCTTGGTTTCAGAGTTGAATTCATATGTCCTGGTGCCTAAATAAATATCAATTTTTTCCTCAAAGTGAAAGAAAAAAATAGTCATTTACTGACGTTTTTGCAAAAATCAATACTATTACAGATCATGGAGGAGCCAAGAAAAGCTTGGGTGTATTAACAACAGCCTACTCACTGATTCAAGATGACTAATTAGAGAACACTCAGCACTCATGACTGTGTCGCGGCATGAGAAACAGTGTCATCGTTAACATGTGGGACTGTTCAGCATTTAGAACACTTCACAAATACAGACCTTAACATACGGCTAATTATTGTGCTTTAGACAGGTGTTGATTGTTTCCTTAGCCTTCCACCTATCTGGCCATCTGTGGTTTTCTTCAGCTACGGGCTTTTTGAAAATAATTGGTCCACAGCAATTTTTTAAAAAACAAGACCGACTGTAATATATTTCCCTAAATCTTTTGCTTACCCTTACTATCTCTTACTGTGGATTATGGCTGACAATTCTCCCTGTCTGCCAACGATTCCTCACATATGAGTAATTACTGGCATAAAAGGAGATGAAAGAGCTGAGATTTCATCATTAATGGTTTCTTTGCTGTAGAAAACCTATTCAGAAATGATTACTTGGGAAAACAGCTCTCCCCTGATTAGACATTGCCACGCTCTGGAGAAGCTGTGACTTAGAAGCTTTCAAGACAGGAAATGATAGCCAGGCCAACAGAACTGGATAACTATTGGTGGCAAAGCGTGTACTGTGCGGAGCACATATGTTCACCTCAAATGGTAAAGGAGGAGAGCCCCTGTGCCTGAGGAAGAAGTAAATGTGCTTAGAAGAGAACAGAAGGTTGTGGGGTGCCTGGTCTTTATTATTAGTGTGAGAGGGGACACACTGAAAAGCAAGCAGGATGTGTTTATATAGTGCAAATGATCTGCACGGTTCAGGGCTCCAGGCCCTTTTTAGGGGAACAAAGCATCCCAGAGACCCAGAAACTGCGGACTGGCCTGACCAGGTGCTTATCTGCATATTCTTGTCTGTTTAACCTCCCATCACTTTGGATTCTACAAAGGAGTGTTAGGCCCGGGCAGAGAAAAGCAGTTACACAGCAGTGAGGGCTCAGTGATGAGATGTGTTTAAGGAGGCAAGTGTGCACTCTAGAGGGCTTGAGAGGACTGGAAATCTGAGTGCAGAGCCTGAAATTGGCTTTTATTTAAAATTTGAGGGTCAAACACGTCTGGCAGGAGGCTCACATTTCCTGGTGATACTTTAGGAGGCGTTGCTGAAGTTTATGCTGTTTCTGTGGTTGCTGATAGTGACAGGGCCTTGCATTGAAATTGCCACCTACTCAGCTATGAGGAAGAAGCCTCTGGTACTGTCATTGGTGTTGCTGACCAAGCTCAGTTTAATTCCCAGAACAAAGCCACTTCCATTCACAGAAGCACTTCAACAGTTCTCTGCTCCGGTTGCTCAAGGGCGATGGGCAGCTGACCTTAGGGAACGCAGGCCTTGATTGTGCACGGCTGTGTGGCCAAGCCCTGCAGTGCATACTGGCCTTCAATGTGGTCAGCTCTCACAGGAGCACTTCTGGCTGGTGCACGGGGAGGTGGACGTGAAAGTGAGGGACAACACTGTCGTCCACGCGCCTCGCTTACCCTGGGTCCAGATCCAGTGGACGCGTCCGAGGCCCTAGCAGTGGGCACGCGGTTCCCCTTAGCGGTGCCGGTGGACGAAGACGTCCAGATCATGCGGCTGACCAAGCCGAACAGCCCCTTCTGCTTGGAGTTGCAGATGCGCGTGGACGGCGCCCATTGTACCTATCCGGTGCTGCTGCAAGAGCCAGGCCGCCTACAGCCTGGAGCTGATGGCCCAGCACTGTGGCCGCCCACTACGCTCTGCCACCGCAGCGCTCAGCGTGCGCGTGCTGGACGCCAACGACCACAGCTCGGTGGACACAAGTCTGTGCCCAGGGAGCCAGGGCGGAAGTGGAGCTGGGGGAGGACGCGCCCCTGGGCTCGCTGCTCCTGGACCTGGACGCAGCCAACCCAGACGAGGTGGTGTTTGCCTTTGGGGCGCCGCTTTTTCCGGCTAGACCCGCGCTCAGGCCGCCTCACTCTGGCCGGGCCGGTGGACTTCGAACGCCAGGACACCTACGAGCTGGACGTGCGAGCGCAGGACCGCGGTGCCGGGCCGCGCGCTACCACTTGCAAGGTCATAGTGCGCATCCGCGACGTGAACGACAACGCTCCAGACATCTCCATCACTCCTCTGGCCGCCCCGGGCGATCCAGCCGCCTCGCCCTTTGCAGCCGCCGCCGCTGCGGCTGCCCTCGGTGGTGCGGACGCCACCTCCTCGGCGGGCCCGGGGACTCCCGAGGCCCGCGTCACCTCGCTGGTGCCCGAGGGGGCTGCGCGCGAGAGCTTAGTGGCGCTGGTCAGCACCTCGGACAGGGACTCGGGCGCCAACGGGCAGGTGCGCTGCGCCCTCTACGGGCACGAACACTTCCGGCTGCAGCCAGCCTACGCCGGCAGCTACCTGGTGGTGACCGCGGCGTCGCTAGATCGGGAGCGCATCGCAGAGTACAACCTGACGCTGGTGGCCGAGGACCGTGGCGCGCCCCCGCTGCGCACCGTGAGGCCCTACACTGTGCGAGTGGGCGACGAGAACGACAACGCGCCGCTCTTCACGCGGCCAGTCTACGAGGTGTCGGTGCGCGAGAACAACCCGCCTGGGGCCTACCTGGCCACGGTGGCCGCCCGAGACCCGGACCTGGGCCGCAATGGCCAGGTCACCTACCGGCTGGTAGAGGTCGAGGTGGGCGGTTCCGGGGACGCAGTGTCCACTTAGTCTTTGTGGATCTGGACGGTGCTTTAACTGCAGCAGGGACTGGAGCTGCTCGCGGCTTTCCAAGGCTAGGACCCCGGACAGTCCCTCGGTTGCTGGTGGAGGATCAGAAGGACCATTTATCCTGCTTGGTGGCCCCACTACTCTTCAGTGGTTCAGCCCACCTGCCTCAGCCCCTCAGCGCACCTTTGGACTACCTGCTGCAGGCAGGAGAGGGACCAGGGTTCCATCACTGGAGTGGATGTGCACCCTCCTCTGCAGTGACAGGGGTGCCGGGATGCTAGCGCTGCAATTGGTTACAGGCGAGCTGTCCCTGCAGCGTGGTTTGTACCCGCAGCCCTCTGGCCCGCTGACCACGATTGTGGTGCGGGACAGAGGCTGGCCTGCTCTGTCCGGCACTGCCACGCTGCTTCTCGTGCCCGTGAACCCACCGCCACCTGGCGGTAAAATGGTGCTGGTGCCTCCACCACCGCCGCTCCTACCTGCCGGGAGCAGGCAGTAGGCTGGCCGCAGCCTAACCTTTCTGTTGTCTGGGTCAGTGTCTTGACCAGTGGCTACAACACTTCTGCTAGTGGCCACAGTCAGTGTATCTTGCTTCTGCCAAGTCGAGGCCAGGACGCTGAGGAAGAAGCCCGGTGAGCTCTGACCTAGTGAATATCAGGTGAGGGCTGACCAAGTTGTCCCAAGAGCTGACTCTGAGGGCTTCGCCTCGAGGTTCTTCATGGAGGCGCCGCTGTCCTCTGTTTCTGTAGAGGTCCGGGAGATCGAATCTTTGGAAATTTCTGATTTGTCTCTGTGTCCTTTCAGGAGACGACTCGGGTCTCACGGGCTCAGGCAGAGCCTCTTTGGGTCGTAATTGTCCTCATGAACATTACTAGATTCTCAAGTTGGAGCCTTGAAATGTGCGATCATGTTTGGGGGAGGGGACATGAATATGTACTTTTTTTTTTAACTTAGGAGGAAAAATGCTGCACAGACGAGGACAGAAGGAAGCCGGATAGCCACGTGTCCTTCTAGGCCCACGTCTGTTGCAGTAGTTGTGGTCCCTGTTAACTTCCTCCTGGTCCAGTGTGGATGCAGTCTTTCCTCAGGGCTGACACTGTCTTCCTGAGGCTCTTTAGAAGAGGAATGCAGAGCTGCTCTGTCATTTCCATATCTAACGGTGAAATATTATTAACTGCTGCTCGCCTCTCTTTCTATACAGGGTTCAATCTCAGTTCCCTTTCATTCCCCGTCTTTCTCTAGAGAGGATAAATCTGCTACAAGTTTAAGGTAATTTAGAATATTGTTATTGCGTAGCTATGTACATTTTTTTAATGGATAACAAGATGATTCTTTTCATTTCCAGGACACATCCAAATCCAGATGAATTTGATGTGAAAGCCAATGGAAAAAGCGACAGAGAATTGAATAATAGCATTTCTGAATCAGTAGCCAGAGCTTCAAAAATGCATACTATTAAATGACTGCAGAGCAAACTAGAGAGTTCAAATCTGTGACTTTGAACTTCTTCCTCTCAAAGAAGCCTTACGTACATACCTGACTGACTTAGAAAGAAGCAAGCGTCCCATCTGTACATTCCCAGAGGGGAGTGCCTCCATCATTTCAGGATGCTATCATAAGATACCTCAAACTGGGCGGCTTAAATGACAAGCACCTATTTCTCATACGAGGTAAATTTTGTATAGATCAAGATTTCATTTTCCGGGAATATCTGAATGCATGGTTTTGCTTGGCTTTACTTTCTTTAGAGAATGTGGCACCCACACAACCTCATGGGATTCAACTTTCCTGCTCTTCTTGCCATTTAGAGGTTCCCTGGAAACACATCCTCTGTAATGGCCAGATTCTCTGCCGTGATATCTGGTCCTGGGGTGGAGCTTCTGGAGAGAAAGGCAGCCGCAACTTTGTGGGAACTAGACCTTTAGTCCCTTAGAGAAGATTCCATACTTAAGCATGACTTCTAATGAGATTTCTAGTGGTTCAAGTGCATTTTCATCATAAAGAATATTTTTGCTCCAATCTGTGTTTAGTCCGTTCTGCTTTTAATATATGAGGTGGAACTACAAGCCTCAGCATCCTAATTGTATTCTTCTGAATATTCTCTAGTTTGTTGATATCTTTCCTAAAATGAGGCATTTGGAGTGAATAATGCTACAGAATGAGCTGCCTTCAGAGTGCCGAAGTCATTCTTTTAATTGTCTCTTCAATATCCCCATCTGGGTGACTAATGAACATGCTGCAGTTGGGAGATGAATGATAGTTATTTTCCTGAACTATTCTTTTGTATCTCAGCAAATGATACCTCTATTCACTTAGTTGTTGCTGTGGCTAAAATCTTGATTCTTTTCTTCCCATGGATAATGCCTAACCCAGAAGCAAATTCTGATGAGTTTAGTTTCTTCACATTTGCTCAATAAAATCACTTCTCACCATCTGCATTGCTATTTATCCATTCCATGGGCCAGTACCTTTTGCTTGGATAACTGAAAATATATCCGAATGGGCCTCTCTGCTTCTTGTCCTTTTGTAGACAATTCTCTATGTAAGAACTGGCCTTGATCCTCTTACTTGCTAATCACACACCATTTCTCAACTCTTCAAAGTCTTCTCATTTCAAATGAAATCTTAACTCCATGTCATTGTGTCCCAGTTACTACTAGCGGGTAACAACCTATCTCTAAACATAGTGGCCTAAAGCAATCATTTCATTATGCTCATGGATTTTGTGAGTTAATTTGCACAAGGCACAGGAGAGCTGGCTGTGCCTGCTGCAAAGTGTTTGGAGCCTTACCTGGGAAGATTTGATCGGTGGAGGCAAGAACCATCTGAAGGTCTATTAAATGTCTGGTTAGTGAGCTGCTGACTCAAAGTCAAGGAAAGTTGACTTGGGGGGAGAGAAAAAAAGGGGTTTCATGTTCCCTGTTTATGTGGCTTTCTTTCTTTACCTCATGGTAGCCTCAGGAAAGTCACATGGCAGTTCAGGATTGCAAGCATGAATGATTCACACAACAAGGAAGAAGTCACATCTTTCTTTCACGATACATATTCAGAAGTGACACCACTTGTCCAAATAGTCTGAAGTTTACCTAATTTTGAGGAGCGGAGATGAAGTCCCTTCCTGTACACTGAAAAATTGCCAAATACTTTTGAGTGCCGTGTTTGTAAAACAGCCACGTGTGACCTAAATGGTCCTACGTTATTTGGCCTCTTGCATTTCCCATGTGACTTCATATCACTCTTAATAACTTAGATCATCTTGCCGACCTTGTTGTTTGTTGAATACTCCAAGCATATCTCCATCTCAGACCTCTGGGTCTTAGTGATCTATCACTAATAAACTCTTTTCCTATATCTGCACTGTTCACTTTCTGCTTTGTTTTGGTCTCTGCTTTAAGATGTTCACCTACTCAATATATTTCCCAAACCCAGTATTGCCTTTCCTGCTTTTTATCCTCCATCAGCTTTACTCTGATTTTTTTTCCCTTTATAGCATTTTCATTGCCTGGCACTATTTTATATTATTCATTTTGTTTTCATTTTTTCTCTTTTTCATGTTGAATCACCAGCACCAAATATGTATACAAAATTAAAATAAAGAAAAATAGCAAATTTATTCAGCATATGAAAAATGTAGCCTAATCAGCACATATATTGCAACATGTGTGATTATTTCTTATTATCACAGTAATAATTTAGATTAGGATAAAATGTGTTGGTGTTTTTAAAAAGTTCCACTGTATTGTTTTACTTTCTGGAAATTTTAGTGTTATCTTAAAACCTGAAGACTTTGCAATGGTTTTATCCTTTCAGATCATTTAATGTTAAATTAGCCTTTAGCATATCAAGTTACAGATTTGTACTGTTTATTTGCTAATTAGGGAAGTATTAGCATATTCTGGTGTTAATTTAGTTTCTTCTTCCTAAATTAATAGTAAGTAGATGTTGTGGGTTCACATCTGCAGTGACAGGTGTTACTATGAAAAGGGCAATACATCCAATCTGGGAAGACATAGATTCTTGGTAACAACAGTCACATTTCCTCTTGTCTATATTGAATACCTTTTATTTATTTAATAAACATTAAAATAGGACCCTCTGTGTGCTAGGAACTGTTCTAAATGCTTTGCAAATATTATCTCACTTAATGCACACTACAGTACTAATAGATACAATCATTTAACACATTTTACATATGGGCAAACAGCACAGAGCTGTTACAGTGCTTTGGTCTGTGTCCCCTACCTACAAAGAGCAGAGCTTAATTCTCAACCTGGGAAATCTGGTTTTGGAGTTCATGCTTTTAATATCTGATATTGTGTATTTTTAGTAAGGTCTTAAACACATATCTTATGAGTCTTTTAAAGATTTATAACCGATTTATATTGCTGAGAATGTTTCTAACTTTGAGATTGATGGCAAGTACTGATTTATGGTTTGGTTTTTAGTCCAACTCCCTGATTCATTTTTCTGTAAAACTGTTAGTGGGAGTATTGAAAGGATGACACCCCAGTGATAGCATGAAAATTGAAATAAAAGCTGATAACTAGAAGATAAATTTAACTAAGGTTTATAGATCATTTTTGTAGATCTCAATAGTTAACACAGAACGAATGGATTGGTAAATGATAATCTTCTGAAATTTCATGTTCCATTGTAATTTCACTCATTCCTTTTGACTGACTTCCTTGAATTTGATTTCCATTTCCTCAGTCCGCCAGCAGGTGGAGGTACAAATCATTGGCAGAAAAGCCAGAGGATGAAGAGTTAGAAAAGAGCTAGAAAACCAGTCCACACAAAACTGAAGGTTGTTTGCATTTTTAAGTACACTGAAATGGAGTATTTTGATTTTTCTCTTTTTAGATTTTAAACTATTTTGTTTTATTTCCAGTTTGTTTCAGAGCACTTAAGAGGTCTGAAAGATTAAACCATGAATCTCAAATCAGCAAGTACACATCTTCTATCATACTGTGAAAATAACTGCAGGCTTGAACTTTCTTCAAAGGCCCTGCACTCTCACATTTCCCAGCTGAGAAGTATAGATTTCCAGCCAGAGCGCTCAGAACTCAAATGATGTTACTTTCAAGTCTGTGCTTCCCGAAGCAAAGGGCTGCCAAGTGTGTATGACAGAGTTCAAAACTGCAAGCCAACAAAGCCGACTCCCCTTTCCGAGACAGAATGATGAATTGAATCATCCTTCAGGGGATGGATCACCTTGGCATCCTTTAGAAATAGCCACTTCATTCTGAAATGCTGCAATGTTTTGGGAATATACACATTTACGTTTCTGTCAGGCTGTTTGTAAGCCAAGCTATGTGCGTGAGTCTCCCCTAGTTTTGATATACAATTCCTTCAATTATGTCAGCAGCCAATGACAGAGCACATGATGATCTTATACAATTCAAGGTATTTTATGAAAATCTTAAAAATGGTCTTTTGTCATCAATGTAAAAAATAAAAATATTTTATATTCCATTATCATTTGTGCATGTAAGTAAAATATTCAGTCTCACTGTTCATTTCCTTTTGATGTATATATAATTCTATTGAGAAACAACTCTTTCAGAATGAATTTAGATTGATTTAAGAACCTTAATCACAAAACCCAGTAGGCAAAGCAGAAGCTGTGGGACTGAGGTGTGGGGTACCCAAATCGTCTGCCCAGCTCAGTGCTGAGTATTTAATGAGGATAACAGTGGGCAATTTTGGCATCTGGTGAAAATCGTGTTTCTGGGCACCCACCCCATGCCTAGCAGCAGCTTAGTTAGAGGCCTGGACTAAAGGAGCAGAAGTGATGAGAACTAAAGGGAAGGTATTGTGGCTTCTGCCTTCTAGATTGAAGTTCCTGCAGGACTCCTCATCTATCTGTAAATAGGAACTGGGAAGGAATTGACGAAGAAGAGCAGGGCGAAAGGAACACCTGCACCTAAAATGCATGGCCCCGGGGCCCTGTGAGCAGGTGAGTCCCGTCTGTCTATAATCAGGTCCAAGGGCAGCAAGGCTGGAGTGTGGTGGGAAGAAGCATCTGGATTGTGCCTTATTTTTAAAAAGATTGGCTCAGTCTGTGGGAAAAATTTGGATCTGCAATTTTTAGGTCATTAAAGTCTCTACTTGGAAGAGTCTGAGTTTGTTAAGATCTAATAGGCAAGATCTATGCTGCCCAGTACAATCATTCTTAGATGTCTATAAACGAATTACAGTTCAGTACACTGGAGAATCAGGTTCCTTGGTTATCAGTGGCCACGTTTTGATTGCTCAGTATGCATACCTGTGTCGTGGCTGGAGAACTGGACACAGAGCAGCTGTGAAACATCCCCATAGGAGAAACTTCTAATGGAAAGCCCTGGTCTGGAGGAGGCAGGTGCAGGAACACCTCCACGGCCTGGGGCTTCAGCCCCCCCATCCCTGATCAGCTCAAGTAAATGCACATAGTGTGTATTTGTTTGTTCTCCACAGTTCCCTAACCCGTGGCAGTTAGGCTTTAGTGGCTCATGTATTTCAAGTAGTTTGACACATTATTTATTTATTTAAAACCTTTGGAAATTTTCTAATGGCAAAAATTTTCAAGTACAAGGTTCTCTGTAGGCTGGAAGAAATTCCAAAATCTCTTCTGCTGTGCTAGTTTAAATTTATAGTCCTCATAATCAGTCCTATAACCTTAGAGATATTTTGGCAATAACCATGAATAAAACTACCTATTCTTACACAGAAACTCTTTCAAGAAATAGGAGTTTTTAAGACCAGTAATTCACTTTTATAAGAGCTGGTAAGTACTTTTAACTTAGTCACTAAATAGAAAATTAACTGTTCTAGAAATTGATCTCTGGGTCTCATGGTGTCTTCAGAGAGTCAAGGTATCATGTCAAATGTCACCTTTCTAGGTCAAGTGGTCTAGTCCCCAGAGAGATGGCATAAATGTGAGTGTACTTTGCTTTACTAAGACATACCTAAAAGTAAAATAGACATCTATCTTTGGGGTTGTAGCTCATAATATTTGACATTCAATAGTATTGTGACCCTTTGTATTCACAGGGAATAGTTCGGTTTTGTTATAGAACTTCTTGTGAATACTAAACACTACAGATATTCACATCCTTTGTATCAAATAGTGTAAGATTTTCATATAATCCACACATAGTCCCATTTACTTTGTCATTTCTACATTACTTACAATACTTAACACAATGTAAATGCTATGTAAATAGTTGGATTGTTTTAGGACTAATAACAAGAAAAAAATTCTATAATTATTCAGGGCAGATGTAATTTTCCTGAGGTTTTTCAATTCATACATGTAAAACTCATGGGAGGATCAAACATGATTTGTTATGTAATGAATTTTGTGGAGAACATTTTTAACAGCTCAGAATCTAAAACCTTCCTTTAAATTTATAAAAATAGAATTAGATACAGTTTGCTTTCCTTGAAATCAACTTCATGTATGTATTTATAATTAGTCGTTACCTTAATTATCATCCCTGAAACAACATAAAACTCTCAAATCCTGTTTATGACTACATTCTCAGAGAGAAATAGTAACAGACAGATTTATCAAACACACACTATGGGTAAGACTGTTTTCTAAAAGCTGTGTGTGAATTATTGTATTTATAAGTCATATTCATTCCACGAGAAAGTTATGTTATTATACCCCTTTTATAGATGAGGAAACATGTAAGAGAGTAATTTGAGGTCACATAGTATGTGAAAGAACTCAGAGGTTTAAAAAGCATGGCATAACACCAGAGTGCTTATGTTTTAGGCTTCTAACCAGATCAAGGTTTGGAATCATTTAGTTGCCTACAAGGCTCCCCCATGCACCTCCCCAAGTAATACCTCTTCCAACAGTAACCATTTCGCAGAAGGTAAGTTGGTATCACCATTATGGAAAATAGCAGAGAGGTTCCTCAAAAAATTAAAAATAGAACATCTTTATAATCCAGCAATCCCATTACTGTGTATCAATCCAAAGGAAAATAAAATCACTATTTTAAGAGATATATGTACCCCCGTGATCACTGCACATTATTCACAATAACCTTGGTATGTAATCAAACCAGTCTCTGTCAACGGAGGAAAAGATGAAGAAATTGTAATCATATGTGAAATGCCTGTTTGGCATATTATTCAACCTTAAAGATACTAAATCTTGCCATCTATAAGAACTTGCATAAAACTGGAGGATAATATGCTAATAAGCCCTATCTAGAAAGAAAAATAACGTATGACCTTGAGCAGTCTAAAAAGTCATGTGCACAGAAGCAAAGAGCAGAATGGTAATTACTGAGTGAAGTACAGGGGAAGCAGGGAGATGTCAGTCAAGGGCAAAGCAAAGTTCCACTTATGTAGGATGAATACACTGTACAGAACTAATTCACACATGATGACTATAGGAAAGTTTGCTAAAAGAATGGGTCTTAGTGTTCTCACCACAACAAGAAAAGTTAGCTTTTTACCTTTAGCTCATCTGTAGTAACTAGTTCATTGTATATATTAAAACTCCATTCTGCATACCTTAATTTAAAATAAAAAAAATTCAAAATGTAACCAGTGATTCAAAAGTCTTTCACATCTATTACTTTTTCATGTATTTGAAATTTACATAAATAGAATAATAATTCATATTCCTGGCACCTGGCTCAAAATTATATGTATGAACTACATCCAGCTGTGTATACCAGTAGTTTGTACTTTTTGGCTGCTTGTACAAGCTCATTGGGTGCATCTGCCACAGATTGTTTATGCCTATTATGGTCAGTGGACTTTAGGAGGCTTCCTGATTTTGAACTTTTGTGAATAATGAAAGCTCAAAATAATGGTTTTGCATGTATATGAACACTCACTTCTCTTTATTGGGTACTCAGGAGTAGAACTGTTAGGTCAGTTCTGATGGGTGTAAGAGTTAACTCTGAATTTCCTGACTTTACTATTATGCATTGTGGAATAACTACTATATCAATAAAGCTAATAAGAACTGAGAGACCTCTAAGCTATATTTTTCTAAGAAGGCTCTTGATTCAATTGAGGTCTTTCTATAAGATTAACTAATAACAGCAGGGGAGGTTTTATATTTGTTCAACAAATAAGAAAGTCTTTTAAATTATCATTAAATAGCTGCTGTATTACAATGCACATAGAACATTTAGTAGCTTCTCTTTGAAACTGCCACAGTAATTCCCATCTTTAATAGAATTGTTTTGTTCATTGAGATGCATACAGTAAGAGTGGGGTTAGCAATTGATTATTCATTTAGTTGTATATTCTAATTAGCTTAGGAAGAAACAAGTCAATTTTAAGCCAATTTCCATAGTCTACACATGCACAGGAATTGATTGCAGTCTTGAATTTGCTGAATAAAAAGTGAAGCTGGCTAATCTCAATTTGTATTTCATTGAGTAAATGTCAGCTATTGATTTCTGTAGCTTACTACTGGTGAAGCAATATGTCTGTCATTCTTTACAGATGGCACAGCACTCACTGTGCAGTTTAATTAGGTGTGGGCCAGTCATTTGACTTGCTTGAGGAAGATGAAATATTTAGCTATAGTAGAAGGCAAAGCCTCAGCCAGCTGCCTGTTCTACCACCCTCTTTCAGACTCTTAACTCATCTTAATTTAATGCTCATTGATTCTTATTGTTGGATGTTGTACAGAGCAGCCCTTTTGTAATGTGGCATTGGAAAATTGAACTTAAACTGACTTTACAGGCCAACTCAATTCTCTCAAGCTTTCTTGAACTTTCGACAATGTAGCATTCCATTTTAGAGGCGTAATTTGACCTGCGTGCTGCAGAACAGGTTCAGGGTGTGCTTGGCTTTCTTAAAGAGTGATCCGTGCTGCCACTGTCATACAGGATTTGTGTACTATTCGATGAGATGCAAGGGCCTCTGCCCTGGTATAACACAGTGTATGTAATGCTGCATCACATTTAAACACATCTACGTATGTAAAAAGTGATCTGAAGTGACAGAGAAAATAAAATAATGTCTTCTTTCTCAAAAGAAATATACAGTCTCTGAAAAAAGTATACAGTCCCTGGTTTTTGTCTGTTCTATTTCATTGCCTTCTACTTTACGTGGCGATAATAGTACCTTTGAAAGCGATGCAAGATAGTATACAGAAAAAGCAGGGCAATACCTTGCATATAGCTGTCATTTAACGAATATCTATTATTATTAACACCAAGAGCATTTTTCATTTTCCTTGTTTACATTAATATATTTTCTTTTTTTTTTTTTTTTCTACTGGGGGGTTGAACTCAGGACCTTATGCTTGCCAAGCAGGCACTTGCACCACTGAGCTAAACTCTGAGCCTTCTTTTTAATAAAAAATGTATTTTTCTTTTTTTGCGGGGGGTGGGGTGGGAGATTGGACTCATGACCTCACTTTTGCCAGGCAGGTGCTTATGCTGCTGAGCTAAATCTCCTGCCTAATGTATTTTCTTATTCCAAGTATTTATAGTTCTCCTCTTTATATCTTTTTATTTGGTACAATTAATCACTTAACTTTTTTGG